AAGGAATATGTCAGGATGATTTTGCTAGCACTAAAAAGGAGCTCGTTCATAGCAATTAGCATCCTAAACTGTCAACTGCAACATAGAAACCCACCAGAAAAAAAACCCCGAATATCAAGAATAACAGAAGGTGTCAATGTTCAATATATATGCCACACTAACTAACAACACAACTTCAGCAAATGTACAAAATCAAATGACAACTGACAAAGGCCAAGTTTAATCGATACAACAAATAAACTCATGAATGGAATACAAAAACTTGCATCAAAACCACATCCGCTGGGCCACAAAGACTTCTATAAACAAAACTATATGAACATTTTACAGGAATATAAAACTATCCAACAATATACTAACACGGCATCGTCTTTCTACCGCCAGATAAAGAGTTACAAATTCAGTGTAATAACCATACAAATCAAATATTCAGATGATACCACAGGACTTGGAAGCATCTTTTTTGGTTACCTAACAATTAATCCACCATTTAACCAAAACCATAATACTATTCATCATCCCCAAGATCACAATCATCTTTACTATACCGAACAAGTAAATCACAACTCATTGCAAGTCAAAACAAGCCATATCAGCTTTAAGCAGAAAAAACAATTAAAGTAGACACACTCACCATTCACCACATCCAAAACTAAGCACATTTTCTCAAAACCAACTCAATCAATACAGAGGAGAATCCAAACAATCTCAACAATCAAGATTATACACAAATATATCATCCATCCAGATTCAAAAACCTAAATCACAAACCTCTGGGGCCGAGATCCATCGGCTTCTGGCTTCCTCCAGGCATTCTTTTCCTCCACATGAAGCCTCTCCCTCCCATTACCGCTCCAAAAGCTTCCCTTTGGACCCACAGAAGTCACCTCCTTCACCTTCATAGACTCGAGCTTCTCCTCAATCTCCTTCCAATCCTGGCCTTTTTCCTTCAACACTTCCTCTCTCGGCCGGGCTTCGCCAAAAGGATTGCTACTCCAAAAGCTTCCCTTTGGACCCACAGAAGTCACCTCCTTCACCTTCATAGACTCGAGCTTCTCCTCAATCTCCTTCCAATCCTGGCCTTTTTCCTTCAACACTTCCTCTCTCGGCCGGGCCTCGCCAAAAGGATTGCTACTCTTCGGCTTCACCATGCCGGCCACTTCTTCTTTCTGGGCTTTCCCCACCGGCAATGTCCTCGGCTGCAAATTCAATTTCGGCCGGCCACCGCCAACACCCGACTCATCTCGTTTCTTCCCCCAACTCTCGGAATCTGCATCAGAAACACCTCTCCTCTCCCTCAGGCTGTCGAAAGAGCTCCCGGGCCTTGGCCTTTCCTCTTCCTTCCTTTTCAGCCAATTATCCGATTCAGAGCCGCTGTTACCAGATTCTAAGCTAAATCCACCTCTTTTATCAAGCCTTCTCGGCTCAGAGGGCACGAAGCTCTTCTTGGACGCCCAATTGTCGACCCCATCTGCCCGTGATTGAGAATCCGTGAAGAAGCCTCCTCTTTCGCCCCTATCCCTCCGATCTCCGAAACCAGCCGGAGACGACTTCTTACCGGTCGCCCAATTGTCGGTCTCGTCAGCCCTAGACGGAGCAAATTCCCGATCGGCATCGCGATTGAAGCCTCCCTGGCGGCGAGGCTGCTCGTCCCTGATTCCGACGCCGTAGGATCTGAATCCGCCGCCGAGCTTGTTCCGATCGAGCTCCTCGGCGGTGCGCTGGCGGGGTCCGGTCGGGAGGGCCAGGAGCTCCTCCTGCGTCAGGCCCTTCTGCTGGGTCGCCTCCGGCTTGACGAATTCCTGGAGGGAAACGGTCTGCGGCTTCTTCTTCTTCTTCGTCTTGGTGGCGGCGGCGGCGGCGCTGAGCGACGGGAAATCCGCCGCCCCTCCGGTGTTCGAGCGGCCGTTGATGGCTGCCGCCGCATCTTCCCGGTGCTGGTTGAGGAGCTCCGCCTCGTTCTCCTCAACGTCTAAGGCCCACGCGCCTGGCTTCGCCCACGCGCTAACGGTTGCCGCCATGTTTGCTGCTTTTTTCTTCTCTCTTCTTTATCTCGCTGTAGGTTTTTGGGAGGATTTTTGCGTCTGTTTCAAGCCTAGGGCTGATATTGTATTTTTTTCAAATCCGAATTGGATTCTGTGAGTTGTGATCGACGGCTGAGAATAAATCTATCGTGTCAGGGGTATGATTGTAATTATGAAGAACAGTATATATAAATACAGAGCTGGCATGCTGCATGCATAATGGTTTTAATAAGGCGAGTTATATATTATTAATAAGGAAAAACATGTGCACCACATAAAAATACGTGTACCGATTTTAGACCATCTCCAACCGAAAAACCTATACTCAAACCCATTTTGCAGTAATTATCCCATTTTGCAGTAATTCGTCTCCAACCGAAAAACTCATTCTCAAACCCAAAAGAATATTCTCAGAATATTCTCTTTTATACCAACTTTTATAACTTTTCAATATTACCCACATATTTTACAACTTTACAAATTAAACCACACTATTATTTTAAATTCAATTAAGACTTTATGTAATTTAAATTAATTATACATAATAAAATCGAAGAAATAAGTTTCATTACAAATTAAAATTTCAGCACACAAATAAACTTTTTTAAGAATATCCTATAAATATTTTACAAATACTTTCATAAAATTTTTTATTCAAAGGAATATCCTAGAAATATTTTACAAATACTTTCATAATTTTTTTTATTAATATTTATAGAATGCTCACACCCTACAAATATATAAATTTATTTGTGTATATTTCACATTTTTTTAACATTTCTTGTCGTTACATGTAAAATAAAAACATGTATGAATATAAATTAGGGATAAACAAATATATTTAGTGCACTTGCTTTTTATTGTACAATTTATATAAAAATAACAACTTTATACCTTCCCAACATTTATATTAAAGTATTAAACTTTTATATAAAAAATTTGTTCATGAATTTTTACATATATTAAATTTTATATTAAAAAATAACAACTTATTGACAAATCATAAATGATGGTAAATTAAACTAAAACTTAATATTTGAAAATAGAAGGGCCAAAACACAAATAAAAATTTTTTTGCGTACATGAACAGTAAAAACGCATATATGCGTTTGATAGGAGAGAGAAAAGGGCCAAAACCCATTTTGGGTTTGCGTTTGGGTACCGGTTGGAGCATTTTTTTGAGATGCGATTGGTTTTGGGGTACGGTTGGAGTTGCTCTTAGCTTTTTATTACATAACTTATTCATTAAGACAAAGATACATCTCGACCTCGCAGTTATAATTAATTTGATACAATATATAATGAAATTCAATGTTTTTTTTTCCATTAATGTAGTCTAACCAATAAACAGGAAATGCAACGGTCTCGTTACAGAATCATTCTGTTAAATTTGTAGTCGTTAGATCATCATATAACTGTCGAGAAATGTTAATCTAACGGTTATAAACTTCGACGGAATGTTCTATAACGAGATCGTAATATCTCCCCCAATAAACGTACATAATTTTCTCTCTTAAACGGTGGTCTAACCAATAAACATACATATACTTATGCTATCAAAAAGTGTATTAATTTTTTGTTAACATTGCATTAGTGAATACTGAACAGTGATGGTTTGTTGGTAATTGTGGCTCTTTGAATTGCTAAATAGTGTTTGATTATCTAATCGAGCAACTAATAGTAGACTGGTTATATATATTAAATTTTTTATTTTTGAAATATTACCAACTTAGTTAAAAGTCAATTTTTGGGAAATAAATTTTTTTTTTTTTATCTTATTTTTGGGTAATAAGTTGGGGCAGTATATATGCTGTAGCACGTTGGTCATGTATATATTACCCACGTTAGCCATGTTTTTTGGTGAGTCCCAACCAACATATATTTTATTTTATCAGCCCAGCCCACAAAGTATGTATCTAAGGCCCATTATCACAAGTGTCACAAAACAATTCTGCTATTTTTACAAGTTTAGTGAAATTATACAAGTTAATAACCTAATTAAATAAAGTTATAAGCTAGTTTTATGGCCTACCAAACACAGCTAAATTATATGTTCCCAACAAATTCCTACGAAAATTTAATATTAAAAAAACATATAAATATGTTGAGATGCACAAATTATTAATCAATATAATATAATTATATAAAAAAAATTACATAAAAATTAATAAATAAAATTAAAATGTAAATTTAGGGGATGATTATTTGCAATTCAACTAAAAAACCAAACAAACTCAAATTTAACTCAATTTTAATAAACTCTATTATCTTCACTATTATCAATATAAAAACTCAAATTTAACTCAATTTTAATAAATTCTATTATCTTCACTATTATCAATATAATTAAATAATATTACTCAATCATTATTATAATCTTAGATAGTCACACTTTCATAATTTAATTTAAAAAAAAAACTATTATCTTCACTATTATCAATATAATAAATAGTATCACTCAATCATTATTATAATCTAGCTAGTCACACTTTCATAATTTGAGAAATGCTACATGCTAATAATTTTTACTAGTCATCACTTTCAATCATTTTTTTTCTTTTATTTACATCAAATCAACTTTAATTATTTTATTTTATACATTATTTCTTATTTTTAATATATGTCGTTTTGAGAAGTTACACATTAATTAATTTTTTTTTTTCGGACTTTCACACTGACATTGAGACAGAAAACATTCGATCACTTTCCCAGCGTGACACGCAAATTGATTATTTATCACCTTATTAAACGGAAAGCTCTCAAGCGAGTAGAAAGAGTGCCCTCCGACTAAGGAGGTTCTAAGGACAGTTCGCCTATCGGGAAATGTAGTCAGCCTTAGGGATAACCTTATTTAATGAAAATATTCCAATCATTTTTTTTCTTTTATTATATCAAATTAACTTTAATTACTTTATTTTATATACTACCTCATATTTTTAATATATGCCGTTTTAAAAAATTGCACATTAATTAAGAATATTTTTTTATCAATAATAACGTTATGTATTTATTAGCTAAATGAGAAAAATAATAAAAAAATATATACACAAAATCTAAAACGACATTTATTTGTCCAATAGTTGACAAAGCTAGAATGATATTTAAAAAATATAAAAAAATATTATTTTCTTATATCCACTAATTATCAACTTTAATAATTTTATTTTATTTATCATTTTTTACTATATCCACAAAAAAAANCTAACTAAAAAAAACTGATTGATATCCAATGACCATTTTTTCAAAACATCCAGATCTGGATTTCAGGATCTGTCTAAACACAAGAAGAAAAATCAGTAACACTCAACTAAAGCCAAACATGAAAAATGAAAAACAAAGTAAATACAGAAAATTATGATAAATCTAACACAATTATTATTAAGGCAGTTCACAGATGAAACGACAATTAGGTAAAAAAAAAAAAACAAGCTCCACATGA